AATTGCAATTTGATAATATATAGGAAAGCACAACAAGCAGAGCAAGCAACAAGACTACAGCAACCGAGGGCCTACCTCAACAAGCCCCAACAGCACACTGAACCTGTGGTGGTCACCAAGCGCTAGGGCCTTGGTGAAGACGTCTGCAGTGTTGGTCTCTGAGGCCACAAAGTCCAGGCATGCCTGGCCGCGTCGTTGCAGCTCTGGCAGGAGGAAGTACCTCACGTCAATGTGCTTCACTCTGCTCTCCAGTCGAGGCTCTCGACAGAGGAGGATCATGGCCTTATTGTCAGCGTACAAGGTCGGTGCAGAGCGAGGCCGCTCACCAAGGTCGGCGAGCAAGAAGGTCAACCAGCGAAGCTCCTGTGCTGCCATGGCACCAGCGTAGATCTCTGCCTCTGCACTGGAAGTAGCCACAGACGACGACCGAGTAGACCTCCACGACACAACACCAACTCCCAGACTGAAGCAGTAAACCCTGAGTCGAGCGCTGAGTCTCCACGTCGTCAGCGTAGTGACTAGTCAGCGCCACTGGCTGAGTCCCTCCAAGCACAAGCCCCATGCCTGATGTAGTCGCCAGGTACTTCGCCACCCTCACAGCAGCTGTCCAGTGAACAGGACGGTGTCTCTCAGTCGCAACAAAGCGAGAAAGGATGCTGAGGGGAAAGGCGAGGTCCGGCCGAGTACAAGTCATCGGGTACATGAGGCAGCCCACCGGCTCTGCGTAGGGACCACTGGACTCAAAGGGCTCGTCCGGAAAGGGGCCAGTGAGTCTGTGGTCAACCGAAAGAGGTGTGGGCTGTGTGGTGGAGAACTGGAAGTCGAACCGCCAAAGGACCTGCTGCACCATGTGTGACTGAGTCAGTGTGATGGTGCGAGCGGCTCTGTCCCTGGTGATCTGCAGGCCAAGGTAGCGCTGCAGTTCACCTAGGTCAGTGCACTTGTGTCTCTTCTGCAGTTCGGACTTCACCTGAGCCAGAGCTACCCTGTCTGCTATAGCAAAGACCAAGTTGTCGATGTAGACAAGGAAGAAAAAAGGAGTGGAACTAGCCCGAACAAACAGCGACGGGTCGGCGGACGACTGACTAAACCCAAGGTCACGAAGCGTGGAGCGAAGAGTGTTGTGCCACTCACGGGGCGACTGGCGGAGACCGTAGACTGGCCGCCTCAGGCTCCACTGGGTCCCAGGTGGGAAGGTGTCAGTGAAGCCAGGAGGGCGGCGCAGCCAGATCTCCTCGTGTAGCCGGCCCTGGAGAAACGCAGTGGAGAAGTCAAGGGAGTGCAGCTCGTAGTCTCGCTGTGCTGCTACGTGCAGTAACACCCGAAGAATAGTCATCTTCGGGGTCGGGGCGAAGGTCTGGAAGAAGTCAACTCCCTCACGCTGACTGAAACCCCTAGCCACATAGCGCGCCTTGAACACAGGCGGTGAACCAGGCGGCCGCTTCACCTTGAAGAGCCACATGCCATCGACTACGTTCGCCCTGGGAGGGGGAACTGCGTCGACGTAGGTGCCTGTGGATCTCCAAGAGGCTAACTCCGAGGCCATAGCCGCTTTCCACTGAGAGGCCCATGCCCCTGACACTGCCTCGCGGTAAGTACGAAGAGTCGGTATGTCAAGGGCGTCGGGGTCTCCTTCAGGGGATAGCAGCATGGCACAGACAGAGGGAAAAGCGGCTTCCCAGTACTCCAGCTCAGACTCTCTGTCCTCTAGGACGTCACAGCCAAGGGCAAACTCACCCCCGACGGACAGAGGACAGGAGGGAGGAGCTGGCACCACACGGGTGGCGTAGTCAAGACGGCTGGCGGCAGCAAACTCAGCGACAGCGGCAGTGAGAGCCGAGACAGACGACGGAGGGAAATAAGAGTCGGTGACAAGAGTGGAGAGGGCACGGGAGACAACAGGACGAACATCACGGTAGTAGTCAGTGATATGAGTAGGGGGGACAGGGAGAGAGGACGGAGGAGGAGACGGAAGAACGGACTCAGGAGGAGGACGACGAAGAGACGAACAAAGGAGGGCAGTGCGGAGGTCGGGAACGGGAGACGAGTGACGAGCACGCGGAGGACAGGGACGGACATGAGAGTGTGGGACAACTGGTGGAGGAGACTGCGGTGGAGGAGAAGACTAGACCACCGGACAGTCGTCAGGAGGAGGAAACGTGGGACCAAACGCTGGAGGGGACGGAGTGTGAACAGGAGGAGAGGAGGGAAGACCAAGGGCCCGAAGGCCACTCACGGGTGGGAACAACTGCCGCTCCAGAGGGAGCTGCCGTGGTCGCGGCGGCGGCGGTGGTGTCTGCTGCTGCGGCGGCGGCTGCTGCTGCTCCAGTAGGTCCAACTGCCGCAACTCCTGCCGCTCCCTCTCCAACAGCACCTGCTCCTCACGCTCACGCCGACGGGCCGCCTGGAGACGCGTGTCGTGGCGGTGGGAAGGCGGAGTGGACTCCGCAGAACCAGTGTCTCCAGCTCCAGTCTCCTCAGAACCAGCACCTCCAGTGCCAGCGCCTCCAGCACCAGTACCCCCAGAGCCAGCACCCCCAGCTCCAGCACCCCCAGAACTAGCACCTCCCGTGCCAGGACCTCCAACTCCAGCACCCCCAAAACTAGCACCTCCAGTGCCAGCACCTCCAGCTCCAGCACCCCCAGAGCTAGCGCCACCTGCGCCAGCATCTCCAGCTCCAGCACCCCTCGAACGAGCACCCCCAGACCGAGGACCGCCAGCGGCTGCACCTCCAGCTCCAACACCAACCGAGTCCACAGTAACCTGTCGCGGAAGAGCCGAAGGCTGCTAAGGGGACTGTGAGGAGGACTGCGGGGAGGGAGACGCGACCTGACGCGCGACCGAGGGTAGAGGGGTAGCGTGGGACACACCAGACGGGGCAGGACCAGTCGACTACCTCGTCGACCTGCACGCCCAGGCTGGCGTCGACCACAGCGGGCGATCGGCTGCACCTCCCGCATACCCGACCACACTGTGGGCTTTGCCCAAGCGAGGGCGGGGCCAACACTTAATTCCTGTCAACTCTGAGTACACGGGCCTGGCGAACCCACACCATGCATTTCGCTGCAAGCACTAGCATGGACTGTCTAGGGTACACGACGAGGTGAAGTTTGCGGTGGCTAGGATCGCTAAGGCGTCGGGAGGGGTGGTGTCGATGGAGGACGACTCGATGTTGATGGGGGAAGCGGGTGGATGTCATGGTGCGCGGACCAACGGTGGGGGAAGCGCATGCTTTGGAGGTTAGCGTTGCTGACCCATTGTCTCTGTCTCCGTCCTTGGTCGGGCAGTGTGGACGGTCCATGGGAGTGGCAGCCAAGGAGTGGGAACGCAGTAAGACGGGAGATTACGCACCGCTGTTAGCGTACAACCGGGGAGTGTAGTTCACCCCTCTGATTGTCGAGACGTGGGGGTGTTTGGGTGGGCGTTTTTGCGTCCTCACCTAATCATACCCCTTTCGTCCCCCCCTCCCTCATCCCACTATCTCTCCATAATTCCCGCACTCCCAGGTTTGTGCGACGCACGGCGTGGCAAACCTCATCTTCTTGTTGCTCATCTTTCTGCTGCTCATCCTCCTTTTGCTCATCCTCCTGTTGCTCATCTTCCTGCTGCTCGTCTTCCTGTTGCTCGTCTTCCTGCTGCTCATCCTCCTTTTGCTCATCCTCCTATTGCTCATCTTCTCGTTGCTCATCCTCCTTTGTCTCATCTTCCTGTTGCTCATCTTCCTGTTGCTCATCTTCCTGTTGCTCATCTTCCTGTTGCTCATCTTCCTGTTGCTCATCTTCCTTTTGCTCATCTTCCTGTTGCTCATCTTCCTGTTGCTCATCTTCCTGTTGCTCATCTTCCTGTTGCTCATCTTCCTGTTGCTCATCTTCCTGTTGCTCATCTTCCTGTTGCTCATCTTCCTGTTGCTCATCTTCATGTTGATCATCTTCCTGTTGGTCACCTTCCTGTTGGTCATCTTCCTGTTGGTCATCTTCCTGTTGCTCATCCTCATGAAGCACGGAGAGGCAAACCCGCTGCCTCCCCTCACCTGCTTCATGTGAAGCCTTTCTCCCCCCTTCCCCATACCCCCTCCTCCCCTTCCCCCCTCCACCCCCTCTTTCACCCCGCGCCGCACGCCCAAGTTTGTGCACGACCTGCTCATCTTCCGCAAGCTCTTCCTTGTGAAGCACGGCATGGTCCCCGTGGTGGCATCAATCAACTCTGTCTAGCCAGGCCTCTTCATGCAGATCACCAAATCCGTGTGGGCGCCCTGACTTCCCTCTCTGTGTGATGCTGTAGAGACCAAGCCGTGTGATGTGGCAGCCATTGGCATGTTGTGTGAACGCACCGGGCTGCATGTGGGTGGTGGGTTGAGTGCCCCACCCATCCGCTATCACGTGCTCGCTTATGTGTGGGTGCCCTAACTATCCTCCCTGTGTGATGCTGTGAAGATAGAGCTGTGTGACATGGTCGCCACCGACATGCTGTGTGAATCCTGCGAGCTGCTGGTGGGTGGTGGGCTGTTATGCGGGTTGAGTGTCCCAACAACCCCCCACCGCCCCTCCTCTCGTCACTTGCCTCATACCCCCTCTTGAATCGCCCTCTGTGTGTGATGCTGTGAAACAAAGTTGTGTGCCGTGGCGGGTGACATGCTTTGTGAATGCAGCGAGCTGCAGGTGGATTGTGGGGTGGGTTGGGGTTGCTGATGGGTGGCAACTGGTATAGGTGGATGGTGGGTTGATTGCCCTCTCCCGCCTCATGCATGGGCGCTCGGATTGCCCTATGTGTGTGATACTATGGAGACAAAGCGGTTTGCCATAGCGGCTACTGACGTGCTGTGTGAATACACTGAACTGCAGGTGGGTGGTGGGCTGGATTGAGGTTGCAGGTGGGGTGGTTGTTGCCGTGCGGGTGTTGCCACATGGGGGGCCTGTTGAGCAGAGTGCAGTGAGTGATGGGGAGGGGATACTGTGATGCCGTTCCCTAAACACCCACTTGTGCTGCCTGTGCTATACCCATGCGGTGCTGCCATATCCATATTGTGCTGCCATACCCGTGTTGGCATGAGGTGCAAGGCATGATGTGCAAGACAGGCGTAACGCTGCAAGTAGCCCATAGTGAATCCATCGTCCTTTTCTCTGCTCTCCCAACACCACCTAGAAACTTGCTTGTTCCTGCACATGTTTTCTTTGTGCTCATTTCTACCCCTGTTACCTCAACCGAGACTTCCTCCCCCCTCCCACCGACCCCCTTTTACTTAGGCTGTCTCCGCCCTGCCCACATGAGCTCGCTTCCTCAGCGCTGTGTTGACCCTTATGGTGCAGCCCAAGGAGCAGCAGGAGGCACCACCTGCAGAGGAGCCCGGCGTGGCAGATGCAGAGGAGATTGCATCGGGGTATGCTGCGTCATCTGCCCAGCTGCACCATGCGAGGAAGACAGAGGAGGATCAGGTGAAGGATAAGACGAGCGATGCGAGGCAGTACCTGACTGTTGGGTTGGGCGCGCTGACGGCGATGAGTCCGGGGTGGTTTGGAGTGGTGATACAGCAGGGGGTGAGTGCTGCAAACAGGGAGGCTTTGGCGCAGTTCTGTGCTGGTTATGGGGTAACATTTGCATGAGAAACGTGAGAAGAGGGCAGGTGCAGCAGCCGGGGATTTCTGGGTGTGTGGAGGAGTGAGAAGAGTGAAGTGGATCCTGTGAGTGCAAAATGCAGGTGATTCAGAGGACCAAGGAAAGGTGGTGAGAGAGAACGGGCTGCTCATGGGCTGATGCACATCGCGTCGTGTTGTGTTTCCGTTTGAAATGTACCACTCTCCATTTTTTTTTGTTGGATAAGGTGCCGTGTTTTTCTGTTTGTGACGTCAGATGAGCCCATGTCGGTCCTTGTGGTGCATCATTCGTATGACACTATACCATACCCTCATAAGATAAGTGCAGTACACTCTTTTATGCAAATCACCTACGAATCATGATGGAAATTAACATTGATGAAAAGGAACAAAAGCATTTAAGGTTCTACTGTTAGGGCGTGTTCCTACGCTCTTATCAGGCAAAGCTCTTGTCAGCCTTGCCTAGTAAAAGTAGCGAGGGTTTTGGGTTTAGGGAATTTTCAGTGTGTTTTGACGCGAGCTTGATAAGAGATTGGCCTGATAAGGGGCCGTAGGAACACGCCCTTATGAGCACGAATCTAAAGGAAAGGCATAACAGAACCGGCCCATAGGAACACTCCCTTATGGTCCCAGTGCATATCAGTTTAAGCAACGCACATGCACCACATGCACTTGAGCACCCCATGCTCACCACGCGATGCTCACCAGCATCCCATGCTCACCAGCATCCCATGCTCACCAGCATCCCATGCTCACCAGCATCCCATGCCTCCAGCAAATCATGCACGCATATTCCTACGGCTAGGCAAGCAGCAACGCAAGCAGAGGTGGCATGCCACCTCACAGGCAGCTCTTGAAGGCAAGGGAACGACAGCAGGGTAGTAGCTGCAGGTGAACGTGTACCCACTTTCGATGAGGTACGTGCAAGTCTTTGGTGAGGTCTTAGAGCAGGTGCTGTTCCACGTGCTGCACGTCCAAGTCCCCCCGCATGGGAAAAAACCGCAGCACATGCAATTGCCCATGCAGTCGCCGTAGTTTACAGCCTTGGTTGTGGCGGAACCCCCTAAAGTATCAGCAGTTAGGCCGCACTGCTTCGAGCAAAGTGTTTTTTGATGATTGCAGCAGGGTCCACTACCGTTGTTGCCATCTCTTAGAGTGCAGTCTGGGCCTGCCATCCATGTTGGATACCAGGATACGGGCAGATGGCTTGACTGCAGCCGAACCCGTAGGCCGGGGCCAATCCCATGGCCACGCCGCCCCACACTTGTCACACGGGCTATTATGGAAAAGTGAAAGGGCGTAGTTCACGGCTGCTTGGCAGTACGACGGGTACGAGGTGAAATCCACTCCACACACTGTGGAAGACGTCGCACAGCCGCCGTCGATCATACCGATGGCGCCAATACAGGGGATGGTGAGGTTGGTGCCGACGGGGAGTGGTGCAGAGGGGTTGTCGATGAAGTTTTGGGCGGCGATGGCAGCGGGGGATGCGGAGAGTGTTGTGCAGCGGGTGGGGTAGAGGGAGGAGATGGTGGAGAGGGTATCGTTGGGGCAGAGTGCGTAGATGGAGTAGTTTGCGTTGGGGGCTTGCTGCATGGTGGTGAGGATGGGTGAGTCAATGCGGACTTGCTGACCCAGCACCAGGTAGGGGGCCTGGCACGTTATTGTTGAGAAACGTATTTATTTATATAACTGCATACTAGTTGGTGTAGTATCAATTTCATTGTCACACCCTTGGTGGTTTACCCCCTCTTGCCACCATGCAATCCTATATCTTGTAACCTTCATTGCTAAACCCTAGACTCTAAGACTATTAAGTTTAGTATTCTCTTTGACAGTTATCTAGGGGTCTGCCCTATACTATAAACCCAGACTATCAGAAGGGTTAATCATAGGATTTACCTTCAGCACATGAAGCTCACTGGAAACATTATGAAAGAATCACAATGAAATAGCAGAATGGAAGCGCCTAAAAGAATCCCAATGAAATGCCGTAGCACCATCGGCCAACCAAAGAACTAGGGAATGTCAGGTTGTACCAAAGAAACCAAAGGAATGGAAATGCAAAGAATCCAGCAAACCAGTAACATCCATGTACCATATCAGTTTCTACCGTACCATGCTGAGCGGCAAATCATGCACACTTGCCAATGCCACACCAAGGGAAGCACTCGGATTGAGTGCACTGAGAGCAGATGCAGCAGCAGCCATCACAGGCGGGCCCTTAGGGCAAGGGATACGTTGTTTGGTAGAAGTAAGTGCAATTCCACCAGTACCCAGCTGACATGTTGTACGTGCACAACCTCGGGCTCTGACTCCAACAAGCACTCTTGGCGGGACTCTGCCCCCCGGCACACGGGGCAGAAAGGCAGCCGAAGCAATTCTTGTAGCAAAAGTTGTAGTTCCCAGCCTTCACCGCATCAGCATCGCCCATCGTAGCAGCAGTGAGGTTGCACTGATCCTCACACTGAATTCTTCGGTAAGCGCAGCATGGTGCAGTTGTATTGCCGATATCTGCTAACGTGCAATCTGTTGTTACAAACCAGGTTGGATACGGGCAGATGGCTTGATAACAGCTGAAACCGGTTAAAGGGGCCAGCCCCATGCGGCCAACGCAGGCACTCGCACAGCCGCCACACGGACCATCTTGGACGGGAAGAGCAAAGTTGGCTGTCGCGTCGCAATATGACTGGTACGTGACACCATCCGCTCCGCACTTGATAAGCGAGTCTGAACAGCTGGCGTCAATTATACCGATGCCGCCAATACAGGGGATGATGAGGTTGGTGCCGACGGGGAGTGGTGCAGAGGGGTTGGTGATGAAGTTTTGGGCGGCAATGGCACCGGGGGATACGGAGAGTCGCGTGCAGCGAGGGAGGTAGAGGGAGGAGATGGTGGAGAGGGTATCGCCGGCACGGACGGTGTATATGGAGTAGTTGGCGTTGGGAGCTTGCTGCATGGTGGTGAGGACGGGTGAATTGATGCAGACTTGCTGGCCCACCACCAGATAGGGGGCCTGGCACTGCAGGGGGGGGTATCGCAATGGAGATATGGAAAGGGTGAAAGAGGTCAGGAGGATGGCTGTGCAAATGGAGAGAAGGAATGGTAGACAGAGAGAAGGAATGGCAGGCAGAGAGGAGTAATGGCAATGCAGAGAGAAGGAATGGCAGGCAGAGAGGAGTAATGGCAATGCAGAGAGAAGGAATGGCAGGCAGAGAGGAGTAATGGCAATGCAGAGAGAAGGAATGGCAGGCAGAGAGGAGTAATGGCAATGCAGAGAGAAGGAATGGCAGGCAGAGAGGAGTAATGGCAATGCAGAGAGAAGGAATGGCAGGCAGAGAGGAGTAATGGCAATGCAGAGAGAAGGAATGGCAGGCAGAGAGGAGTAATGGCAATGCAGAGAGAAGGAATGGCAGGCAGAGAGGAGTAATGGCAATGCAGAGAGAAGGAATGGCAGGCAGAGAGGAGTAATGGCAATGCAGAGAGAAGGAATGGCAGGCACAGAGGAGTAATGGCAATGCAGAGAGAAGGAATGGCAGGCAGAGAGGAGTAATGGCAATGCAGAGAGAAGGAATGGCAGGCAGAGAGGAGTAATGGCAATGCAGAGAGAAGGAATGGCAGGCAGAGAGGAGTAATGGCAATGCAGAGAGAAGGAATGGCAGGCAGAGAGGAGTAATGGCAATGCAGAGAGAAGGAATGGCAGGCAGAGAGGAGTAATGGCAATGCATAGAGAAGGAATGGCAGGCAGAGAGGAGTAATGGCAATGCAGAGAGAAGGAATGGCAGGCAGAGAGGAGTAATGGCAATGCAGAGAGAAGGAATGGCAGGCAGAGAGGAGTAATGGCAATGCAGAGAGAAGGAATGGCAGGCAGAGAGGAGTAATGGCAATGCAGAGAGAAGGAATGGCAGGCAGAGAGGAGTAATGGCAAGGCAGAGAGAAGGAATGGCAGGCAGAGAGGAGTAATGGCAATGCAGAGAGAAGGAATGGCAGGCAGAGAGGAGTAATGGCAAGGCAGAGAGAAGGAATGGCAGGCAGAGAGGAGTAATGGCAAGGCAGAGAGAAGGAATGGCAGGCAGAGAGGAGTAATGGCAATGCAGAGAGAAGGAATGGCAGGCAGAGAGGAGTAATGGCAATGCAGAGAGAAGGAATGGCAGGCAGAGAGGAGTAATGGCAAGGCAGAGAGAAGGAATGGCAGGCAGAGAGGAGTAATGGCAAGGCAGAGAGAAGGAATGGCAGGCAGAGAGGAGTAATGGCAAGGCAGAGAGAAGGAATGGCAGGCAGAGAGGAGTAATGGCAATGCAGAGAGAAGGAATGGCAGGCAGAGAGGAGTAATGGCAATGCAGAGAGAAGGAATGGCAGGCAGAGAGGAGTAATGGCAATGCAGAGAGAAGGAATGGCAGGCAGAGAGGAGTAATGGCAATGCAGAGAGAAGGAATGGCAGGCAGAGAGGAGTAATGGCAATGCAGAGAGAAGGAATGGCAGGCAGAGAGGAGTAATGGCAATGCAGAGAGAAGGAATGGCAGGCAGAGAGGAGTAATGGCAATGCAGAGAGAAGGAATGGCAGGCAGAGAGGAGTAATGGCAATGCAGAGAGAAGGAAGGGCAGGCAGAGAGGACTAATGGCAATGCAGAGAGAAGGAATGGCAGGCAGAGAGGAGTAATGGCAATGCAGAGAGAAGGAATGGCAGGCAGAGAGGAGTAATGGCAATGCAGAGAGAAGGAATGGCAGGCAGAGAGGAGTAATGGCAAGGCAGAGAGAAGGAATGGCAGGCAGAGAGGAGTAATGGCAATGCAGAGAGAAGGAATGGCAGGCAGAGAGGAGTAATGGCAAGGCAGAGAGAAGGAATGGCAGGCAGAGAGGAGTAATGGCAAGGCAGAGAGAAGGAATGGCAGGCAGAGAGGAGTAATGGCAATGCAGAGAGAAGGAATGGCAGGCAGAGAGGAGTAATGGCAATGCAGAGAGAAGGAATGGCAGGCAGAGAGGAGTAATGGCAAGGCAGAGAGAAGGAATGGCAGGCAGAGAGGAGTAATGGCAAGGCAGAGAGAAGGAATGGCAGGCAGAGAGGAGTAATGGCAAGGCAGAGAGAAGGAATGGCAGGCAGAGAGGAGTAATGGCAATGCAGAGAGAAGGAATGGCAGGCAGAGAGGAGTAATGGCAAGGCATAGAGAAGGAATGGCAGGCAGAGAGGAGTAATGGCAAGGCAGAGAGAAGGAATGGCAGGCAGAGAGGAGTAATGGCAAGGCAGAGAGAAGGAATGGCAGGCAGAGAGGAGTAATGGCAAGGCAGAGAGAAGGAATGGCAGGCAGAGAGGAGTAATGGCAATGCAGAGAGAAGGAATGGCAGGCAGAGAGGAGTAATGGCAATGCAGAGAGAAGGAATGGCAGGCAGAGAGGAGTAATGGCAATGCAGAGAGAAGGAATGGCAGGCAGAGAGGAGTAATGGCAATGCAGAGAGAAGGAATGGCAGGCAGAGAGGAGTAATGGCAATGCAGAGAGAAGGAATGGCAGGCAGAGAGGAGTAATGGCAATGCAGAGAGAAGGAATGGCAGGCAGAGAGGAGTAATGGCAATGCAGAGAGAAGGAATGGCAGGCAGAGAGGAGTAATGGCAATGCAGAGAGAAGGAATGGCAGGCAGAGAGGAGTAATGGCAATGCAGAGAGAAGGAATGGCAGGCAGAGAGGAGTAATGGCAATGCAGAGAGAAGGAATGGCAGGCAGAGAGGAGTAATGGCAATGCAGAGAGAAGGAATGGCAGGCAGAGAGGAGTAATGGCAAGGCAGAGAGAAGGAATGGCAGGCAGAGAGGAGTAATGGCAATGCAGAGAGAAGGAATGGCAGGCCGAGAGGAGTAATGGCAAGGCAGAGAGAAGGAATGGCAGGCAGAGAGGAGTAATGGCAAGGCAGAGAGAAGGAATGGCAGGCAGAGAGGAGTAATGGCAATGCAGAGAGAAGGAATGGCAGGCAGAGAGGAGTAATGGCAAGGCAGAGAGAAGGAATGGCAGGCAGAGAGGAGTAATGGCAAGGCAGAGAGAAGGAATGGCAGGCAGAGAGGAGTAATGGCAATGCAGAGAGAAGGAATGGCAGGCAGAGAGGAGTAATGGCAATGCAGAGAGAAGGAATTGCAGGCAGAGAGGAGTAATGGCAAGGCAGAGAGAAGAAATGGCAGGCAGAGAGGAGTAATGGCAAGGCATAGAGAAGGAATGGCAGGCAGAGAGGAGTAATGGCAAGGCAGAGAGAAGGAATGGCAGGCAGAGAGGAGTAATGGCAAGGCAGAGAGAAGGAATGGCAGGCAGAGAGGAGTAATGGCAAGGCATAGAGAAGGAATGGCAGGCAGAGAGGAGTAATGGCAAGGCAGAGAGAAGGAATGGCAGGCAGAGAGGAGTAATGGCAAGGCAGAGAGAAGGAATGGCAGGCAGAGAGGAGTAATGGCAATGCAGAGAGAAGGAATGGCAGGCAGAGAGGAGTAATGGCAATGCAGAGAGAAGGAATGGCAGGCAGAGAGGAGTAATGGCAATGCAGAGAGAAGGAATGGCAGGCAGAGAGGAGTAATGGCAATGCAGAGAGAAGGAATGGCAGGCAGAGAGGAGTAATGGCAATGCAGAGAGAAGGAATGGCAGGCAGAGAGGAGTAATGGCAATGCAGAGAGAAGGAATGGCAGGCAGAGAGGAGTAATGGCAATGCAGAGAGAAGGAATGGCAGGCAGAGAGGAGTAATGGCAAGGCAGAGAGAAGGAATGGCAGGCAGAGAGGAGTAATGGCAATGCAGAGAGAAGGAATGGCAGGCAGAGAGGAGTAATGGCAAGGCAGAGAGAAGGAATGGCAGGCAGAGAGGAGTAATGGCAAGGCAGAGAGAAGGAATGGCAGGCAGAGAGGAGTAATGGCAATGCAGAGAGAAGGAATGGCAGGCAGAGAGGAGTAATGGCAAGGCAGAGAGAAGGAATGGCAGGCAGAGAGGAGTAATGGCAAGGCAGAGAGAAGGAATGGCAGGCAGAGAGGAGTAATGGCAATGCAGAGAGAAGGAATGGCAGGCAGAGAGGAGTAATGGCAATGCAGAGAGAAGGAATGGCAGGCAGAGAGGAGTAATGGCAAGGCAGAGAGAAGGAATGGCAGGCAGAGAGGAGTAATGGCAAGGCATAGAGAAGGAATGGCAGGCAGAGAGGAGTAATGGCAAGGCAGAGAGAAGGAATGGCAGGCAGAGAGGAGTAATGGCAAGGCATAGAGAAGGAATGGCAGGCAGAGAGGAGTAATGGCAAGGCAGAGAGAAGGAATGGCAGGCAGAGAGGAGTAATGGCAAGGCAGAGAGAAGGAATGGCAGGCAGAGAGGAGTAATGGCAAGGCATAGAGAAGGAATGGCAGGCAGAGAGGAGTAATGGCAAGGCAGAGAGAAGGAATGGCAGGCAGAGAGGAGTAATGGCAAGGCAGAGAGAAGGAATGGCAGGCAGAGAGGAGTAATGGCAAGGCATAGAGAAGGAATGGCAGGCAGAGAGGAGTAATGGCAAGGCAGAGAGAAGGAATGGCAGGCAGAGAGGAGTAATGGCAAGGCAGAGAGAAGGAATGGCAGGCAGAGAGGAGTAATGGCAAGGCAGAGAGAAGGAATGGCAGGCAGAGAGGAGTAATGGCAAGGCATAAGGAATGGCAGGCAGAGAGGAGTAATGGCAAGGCAGAGAGAAGGAATGGCAGGCAGAGAGGAGTAATGGCAAGGCAGAGAGAAGGAATGGCAGGCAGAGAGGAGTAATGGCAAGGCAGAGAGAAGGAATGGCAGGCAGAGAGGAGTAATGGCAAGGCAGAGAGAAGGAATGGCAGGCAGAGAGAGTAATGGCAAGGTATAGAGAAGGAATGGCAGGCAGAGAGGAGTAATGGCAAGGCAGAGAGAAGGAATGGCAGGCAGAGAGGAGTAATGGCAAGGCAGAGAGAAGGAATGGCAGGCAGAGAGGAGTAATGGCAAGGCATAGAGAAGGAATGGCAGGCAGAGAGGAGTAATGGCAAGGCAGAGAGAAGGAATGGCAGGCAGAGAGGAGTAATGGCAAGGCAGAGAGAAGGAATGGCAGGCAGAGAGGAGTAATGGCAAGGCAGAGAGAAGGAATGGCAGGCAGAGAGGAGTAATGGCAAGGCAGAGAGAAGGAATGGCAGGCAGAGAGGAGTAATGGCAAGGCAGAGAGAAGGAATGGCAGGCAGAGAGGAGTAATGGCAAGGCAGAGAGAAGGAATGGCAGGCAGAGAGGAGTAATGGCAAGGCAGAGAGAAGGAATGGCAGGCAGAGAGGAGTAATGGCAAGGCAGAGAGAAGGAATGGCAGGCAGAGAGGAGTAATGGCAAGGCAGAGAGAAGGAATGGCAGGCAGAGAGGAGTAATGGCAAGGCAGAGAGAAGGAATGGCAGGCAGAGAGGAGTAATGGCAAGGCAGAGAGAAGGAATGGCAGGCAGAGAGGAGTAATGGCAAGGCAGAGAGAAGGAATGGCAGGCAGAGAGGAGTAATGGCAAGGCAGAGAGAAGGAATGGCAGGCAGAGAGGAGTAATGGCAAGGCAGAGAGAAGGAATGGCAGGCAGAGAGGAGTAATGGCAAGGCAGAGAGAAGGAATGGCAGGCAGAGAGGAGTAATGGCAAGGCAGAGAGAAGGAATGGCAGGCAGAGAGGAGTAATGGCAATGCAGAGAGAAGGAATGGCAGGCAGAGAGGAGTAATGGCAAGGCATAGAGAAGGAATGGCAGGCAGAGAGGAGTAATGGCAAGGCAGAGAGAAGGAATGGCAGGCAGAGAGGAGTAATGGCAAGGCAGAGAGAAGGAATGGCAGGCAGAGAGGAGTAATGGCAAGGCAGAGAGAAGGAATGGCAGGCAGAGAGGAGTAATGGCAATGCAGAGAGAAGGAATGGCAGGCAGAGAGGAGTAATGGCAATGCAGAGAGAAGGAATGGCAGGCAGAGAGGAGTAATGGCAAGGCAGAGAGAAGGAATGGCAGGCAGAGAGGAGTAATGGCAAGGCAGAGAGAAGGAATGGCAGGCAGAGAGGAGTAATGGCAGAGAGGAGTATGGCAAGCAGAGAAGGAATGGCAGGCAGAGAGGAGTAATGGCAATGCAGAGAGAAGGAATGGCAGGCAGAGAGGAGTAATGGCAAGGCAGAGAGAAGGAATGGCAGGCAGAGAGGAGTAATGGCAAGGCAGAGAGAAGGAATGGCAGGCAGAGAGGAGTAATGGCAAGGCAGAGAGAAGGAATGGCAGGCAGAGAGGAGTAATGGCAAGGCAGAGAGAAGGAATGGCAGGCAGAGAGGAGTAATGGCAAGGCAGAGAGAAGGAATGGCAGGCAGAGAGGAGTAATGGCAATGCAGAGAGAAGGAATGGCAGGCAGAGAGGAGTAATGGCAAGGCAGAGAGAAGGAATGGCAGGCAGAGAGGAGTAATGGCAAGGCAGAGAGAAGGAATGGCAGGCAGAGAGGAGTAATGGCAAGGCAGAGAGAAGGAATGGCAGGCAGAGAGGAGTAATGGCAAGGCAGAGAGAAGGAATGGCAGGCAGAGAGGAGTAATGGCAAGGCAGAGAGAAGAAATGGCAGGCAGAGAGGAGTAATGGCAAGGCATAGAGAAGGAATGGCAGGCAGAGAGGAGTAATGGCAAGGCAGAGAGAAGGAATGACAGG